CCAGGTCATTCCCACCACCACCACAGATCAAGACGTCGCGCAGCAGTGGGTTGCTGGCGGCCGGTGGCGGTGGTAGTGGGCCCAAGACTCCGCCGAGGGTGTCGGGGAATCCGGAAGATTCGTGGGAGATACGGACGGCGTTTGCACCGCCGCCGGGGGGGAGGCGCTGATTTTTTGGGAATTTTTTTTTGTTTTGTTTGTTTTTGGTTGGGGGGGTTCTTTGTCGTTTCAGGGGGTTGGGGGCTGGTTGTGGGGGATCGGGGGTTGATGATGTTTGGATACCCGGCTGCCTTAAGAAGCTTTGTTTGGTTGTGTCGTGTTGCTAAGGCAAGGGGGATATGATGTCTAAATACGGGATTGGTTTGGGGCTGCTCGGGGGTCTACGGAGTTTGTTGATTTTTGATGTGGTACCTAATAATTCGGGGCCAGTGTCCGGTTGTGAAAGAACTCGGGCAGCTGTGTGGGAAAGAGGGAACTTCAAAATTAATACGGATATGAAGTTTTGACTATACGTTGTCCTTACTGCATTACTTCTGAAGGGAGGGGAAGTGGGGGGGGAGGGGGTCGCGGGCCCTCTATCCAAGAGGTGCTATGGCAAGATCACATTCCTTTTGTTAATATGCAAATGGACGTATACACGGAAAGTGATGCCACAAAACGGGAGCTTCTAAAGTGACGAGTCTCTATTCTCACCGGCGGACTCCGCGTCGTGTTCAATGTTCCTGTCCCCTTCGCCTCCACGACTAACCACACAATACAGGATACACAAAGCAGAAGATAGCCATGTAATACATTCGTCTAGATACACCAGACGGCAACTGACAATGGCTAGGTAGATGTATATTCCAGTTTCCCAGTCTCTGCTCCGCATCCAGAAACGCCGTTATATGCTTCGCTCGCCTCCGCACTTATTCTGCTCAGCTTTTCCCAGCACACACCCCGCACATTTAACGCATATCATGCTTTAGCTGGTATACCCCATCTTGAATCGCTCCCATTAACCAGGGTATCACGCTGGATTGGCCCCTCCCTCCCTCACAGCCCTGCATCCAGTCTACATCATCCTCCCTCCCATCCCACTCCCCAACCAGAAAAACAAATACAAACGGCTCACCCCTCCAGATAAACCTCCGTCCTCATCCCCGGCTCCTCGCGGTCCGCCCGATCCATCGCCTCTCTCAACTCCCTCAACATCCGCTTCGTATTCTCCACCATGACATTAGTCTCCGCCCTGTCCGGCACCGCCCCACCATTCCCACCCAACAGCGCCTTCTTCTTCGCCGACGGCGACACTTCTCTCCCCTGCCCCCCATCACCATCACCATCATCATCATCGACATCCATCTCCGCACTACGCTTCCGCTTCCCCATCCCCAACCCGGCCTTATCCCCACTACTGCGGCTGCGCAAAGGCGGCGGCGGCATGCTCCCCGACGCAAACGGCGGGTGGGGCGGGGACGTCGCGGGGAGGCCCTGGGCCGCAAACCTGGAAAGGTCGGCGCTGTGGCGCGAGGTGTGGCCATAGACGGGCGGGCGCGGTTTAGCGATTCTGGCCAAGCGCAGGCGGAGCTCCGATGGCGTGGGCGAGGGGGCGCGGCCGGCGTCGCTCACCATGTCGACGTCGCCGTCGAGCAGCCCGTCCGGCGAGCCAGAGCCGGAGCGGGACGCAAAGTCGTACCGCCCGGGGGCCCTGCTCGTTTTGTTGTTGCTGTTGGCCGCAGAAGAGGACCGGGCGACGGCTTCCGGCAGCCAGTTGCCATCCGGCATGGGCACGAACCCACGCGCGCGCAAGTCCCAATGTGTGGACGACTTGGCAAAGCGGTTTGTTCTCTCTCCGTTGGTTGTGCTTCCGTAGAAGCCCGGTTGCCGCTTCGCGCCGGGCTCGTCGTCCGACTCTTCTTCCGCCGACCTCTTTCTCGAGGCGGAGAAATTCGTCGTCCGATGATTGTCGTGCCCCACCCCAGGAAGCGACTGCCGGAACCGCGACGACGACGTAAACGACCCGCCATTGGCGTTGACGACGGAGCCGCTGGCGGACAAGCTCCGACGGGGTTCGATCCCAAACTTTTCGCGGAGGGAGCGAGTCTTCCAACCCTCGCGCTTGCCTCCAACGCTGCTGGTGTCGGATGGCGCCGGCTCGAGCTCGAGCTCCGATTCCGGGTACCGGTAGGAGCGGGTCACGCTGTCCATTGCCCAGGGGTCTCCTCCGTTGACGGCGGAACCGCGAACGGAGCGGCGAGCAAGGGTGCGCGGGTCGTCGTGGAGCCCCGAAAACACGCCACTCGCGAGAAGCTGGTCCTCGGTGCTCTGGTCAGTGCTGTAGGCGACGCTGCCGCGGCGGCCGGTGGAGGTGGCGAGCAAAGCAATGCGGTTGCTGTCTTCCATGAGCTGCCTCTTTGCGGCGCGTCTGGCTTCCCGTTCGACCTTTTCCTTTTCTTCTTGTAGTTGTTTTTTGGCCGCTTTTTGTTGTTCGCGGTAGAGACGCATTTTTTCTCGGCCTTCTCGAAGAATGCGTTTGGTGGCAAGGGATCGGGCGATGTTGCGCCAGCGGTAAAAGAATTTTAATCGCAGTCGGTGGGTTTGATACTCGCGTGCAACTCGCCACGATTCCTCATCCTCGGCCCGCCGTTTCTTTTCCGCTTGTTCGCGCTCAAAATCTTGCCAGACGCCCCATAGAATGTGGCTTAGTATTTCTTCGGTGAATTGTTCTACGAGACCATCGTCGCCTGTAACGAACCATTTCGTGAAATCACCGAGAGGATCCCGCTTCGGAGATGGCGGTGGTATGGTTGGTGCTGTGGTGGCTCCGCTCTGGAAAGAGACTGCCGGCGCTTGCGAAGACGAGCCGGAGAGAGGGTTCTGCCCGAGCGGCTGGAACGGAGTAGAGGAGAGAGGTTGTAGGCCTTGTGTTGCAGGCGCAGTTGTGGCTGTGGCGGGGGGTGCGGAGATCTGAACAGAGGGAACTAATGAGACCGTAGTGGCTGTTTGCTGTCCTGGAGGCTTTGCGGGCGTGGTGGTTGGAAAGAGGGATGCTCCGGCCGGCGGAGCTGTACCCAAGATAGGAGCTGAAGGAGTTGACGCGGCCGGCTTTTCTGGGGGAAATGTGGTAGCTTGCGTTGGGTTGGCGGTGGCGGCCAGGTTCGGGGCGGTGCTGCCGAAGATGGGCGGTGCGGATGGAAATGTTGTGGAAGGTTGAGATTGTGCCGCTTGAGCAAGGGATGGTAGGGTGGCCGAGCCAGGGTTTGCGAGGAAAGCAAACGGATTTGAGCTTTCTGCGGGCTTGGCCGTTACGAAAGGTGAGGTTGCTGTTTGCCCGGTCTGGGCGGACTTGCCCAGGTTCGCAGCTGGCTTGGAAATCGTGCTGGCTGCCAGGGGGACCGGTGGTTGATTGAAAGATGGGAACGGACCCTGTTCTGCTTGAGCTTGTGGCGTGGGCTGTTGACTCGGGACCGCAAATGGGTTCGCAGCTGCGGTGGAGGGTTGCGGGGCCGAAAAGCCCGAGAACGCTGGTGTCGTTGCCGCCGTGGTAAAGGGCGAGCTTGAGACGGGGGCGCCGAAAGGCGAGGAAGTTGTGGGTGGTTGTGTCATCGGCGGGCTGGCCATGGACAAGTCCTCGGATACCGGTGCTCTAGTGACGAAAAGACTGCCACCGCCCTCAGAGAATAGACTATCCGGGCTACCGCCAGAACTGGGCGGGTTCTCTGACGGCTCCTCAAAGATGGTGTTGTAAATCACATAAGGCAAGGACTGCGTCGTGCGCTTCCGCTCGACGATTGCCCCTGAGAATGCCTGGCGAACTCTCGGCGATGGAACGGCCTTTTTCTTGTTACTGAGAAGGAGATAAGGCTCCGTGACGGGATTTCGCCCCTCGGGAACCCATGTCGAAAATTCGAAGTCGTGTAGCTCGGCGAATTCAACCGCCTCTTCGGACGTGTCAAACCTTAGCATTGCGTTGAGGTCCGACGCCGTGATGGTGCGAGGGGCATCGCGATGCCGAGCATAGCCCCTGACGAGGTTCTTGAGGATGCCCTGGCGCACTGTTGTGAAATGGATTTCTGCAACACAGGCCATTGTGTAGGAGACCCGCGTGTCCTCAACGATGGAGAAGTAGTTTGTGAAGGAGGCATCGGACAAGCTCGTTGCCGCGCGTGGCTTGATCGGACCCTTAGGTTCCCGCACATCCTCCATCGTCTGGATCAGGGACAGAGCTGTCTGAACTTCTTCACTCTCGAACCAAGACTCCTTTCCCCACGTCGGGATCCTCACTACTATCGAGGGGTCGTGTGCGTTGAGGAGGAGGTAGTACGCTCTGAATTCAGGCTCGTTCGGACAGTGGACTTTCTTGTCGTGACACATATCGTACGCCTCCATGAGTGACAAGATGGTTCGTCCCAGCTGCTCAATCTCCTGCCTCTGGTCGAAGTCTTCGTTGGCGAAACCCTTCTTCGACAGCAGGTGTAGGGCGGTGGCGTGGAATCGTGTAATGGTTTCGAAACAGTATACCATGTCCTTCATCTCTTCGGCCGACTTTTGCGAGTGAAAGGTGAAGTCCTTGCGCACAGCTCTGGTCCGATCCCACAAGAAGTTGTGCATCGAAGGGAGGTTGTTCTCTGACTGGAGGAGGTCGTTAAAGAGGTAATCTGTCGTCCTCCGCAGGGCGTCCACGGAACGAACGTCCATGGGCAGCGGCGCATCTTGGCCGGCGGCAGAGCGCCCGAACTTCTTGACCATCCGCGTCGTGTCCGGCCACATGGTCAGCCCATCGGGGCGGGTCTCCTTCTCCTCCGTCTTGACGTCGTACTCGGCGATACGGGAGACCTGCTCGAATTCCGGGCACATGTTCTCGCAAATTCCCTTGAAGGGAAGGGCGTCTTCGAGCTTCCGTCTCTTGTCCGGATCGTCGATAAGATCAGCTTTCCTAAGTGTCGCATACGTGCGGGTGCGATACTTCTTGTATGACTCCTTCAGACTCTCAATGGCGGCCCGCTTGCTGGGGTCACCGGGGTCGGCGTGCCATTTTGGCGGGTGGACATTTTCTTTTTTGAGGTGGTCGTACAGCTTATTCGCATAGTTGAAAGCAAAAATCGACAGCTGCTTTGTCCGTTCGGTTGGGCCTTTGGCTGTGACTTCCTGGCTACCACGCTGGCTGGGGGCCGGCTGATGGCGCTCCTGGCGCCCAGGCTGCTTTCCCCGACCAGTTGGCTGCGGTTTTGTGCCCATCCCCGACGTTTGAGAGCCCGGCGGCCTTGTAAATGGATTTGTACTGGCGAACGGCGTGGGTCCCTGATTCTGTCCTCCCTGCGCAGCAAATCCTCCGTTTTTCGTTTGGCCTCCTTGATTGGCAAAACCAGTGCTCTTGGTCGCAGCCGGTGGCTTGCCGTTAGTGAGCTTACTCCGGCGACCCATGGCGTTCGCGTCGTGTTTAGCGGCCGATGATTGAGCTGACGGGCCCGATGGTGGCGCTCGGGAACCAAACGGAGATGGACTTCGGCTGTTCTTGGGCCCACTCGGGGGAGCTGCAGAAAGGTTATTTGCCTTCGGGCCAGATGGAGCTCCAAAGGGGGCCCCAGCTGATGGCGGCTTGTTTCCAGATGCTGGCGCGCCAAAAGGATTGTTGTTGGACGCGCCGAAGTGACTCCCTGATGAGGACGGCCTGCTTCCAGACGCCGCCGTGGCTCCGAGAGAAGTGTTGGATAGCGCGCCAAAGGGATTCACAGCGGGCGCTGAACCAAAAGGATTCGTCGTGGGAGCCGAGGTGTTGAACGAGTTCTGAAAGGGCTGGTTGAACGCAGAGGCAGGCTGACCAGAGACAGGCGCTCCAAAGGGATTTTGAACGACCTGACCTTGGGGCACCCCGAAGGGGTTGTTAGCTGGCGCCGCCATGGTGGTTAAGGCAAAGCATTGGCGATGAAGGTCCGAGCGAGGAGAACGGACGGAGGGGATCGCAGATCGAGGCTCGAGGGGAAGATCGGGAGAATATTCGAGCGTCGCAAATGGGGCCTCGACGTCGCAAATGAAGATATCGGACACGGGTTTGGGTGCGACTCGGAATGGAGAATTACCAAAGGGGGGGTCGCTCAATCAGCGCGGTGATGGTTTTGATGAATGGCGATGGGGTCGAACCGCCGACGCGTGAGCATGACGGGACGTAGCTCTATGCGGTTGAGCAAATCAGGAGTACATGCACCATAGGAGGGCAATTCCTGTCTGCCGCGTTCTTATTCTGTAGGTGGTGAAAATGCGCGAAGGAAATCGGTAGGTTGCGCCGCAGTCGAGAATGACTGCGAGCCTTGAATATGCAATCGTGCAAGGTTTCGACGGCGGACTTGGCTGGCTTTGTCGCATTGAACCAATTCTGCCCTTTGACATTGGGCGGTGAATGGCCGAACCGCCCCAAAACGGCCAGGCAAGCTTGGGCCATGTGGGGAGATGTCCATTCGATGCTTGGCGAGCTTTGCTTGGAAGCCTTTAATTATCATCCCGACTTCGCGTCCGTCTCAAAAAACACAATAGCACACAATAGCACACAATGCACAACACAAAAGAAATCTGCCCGGAAAAGTATATTGTTTATTTCTTTCTGAATCGGCCCTGGATCCAGCACCGATACATCTTAAGTTTCTTGGCACGGTTAACAAGCAGTCTACGATCAAAGCCAAGCTCCTCGATCTCGAAGCTTGGCTGCAGACTTTGGGTTTCCTCACCCTCGGCCGGCTCGCTAAGCTTCCCGCACCAAATCTCTTCCAGCTCATCCTTCTCGAAGAAATAGACGCGGGTACCGTCTCCCCGGATGTAGAAGTTCTCCTCCAGATAACGCCCCTTCTTGAACCGCACCTGGGCAAGGTCACCTCTCCCATAGTCGCGGAAGCAGACCTCGCCGCCCGGCTTGAGCACACGGTAGACATTTTCTACCGCCTTCTTCCACTGCAATGGGGAAAGTGCAGAGAAGATAAAAACCATGATAGCCACGTCTACGGATCCTTCTTCGAGGCCCGGTGGCAGTTCGGCGCCAGCAACGTCCCAAACGTCGGCCTGCATCCACCGCGGTATCGTAAGATTCATGGGTTGCGGCATGACCTCAACCGCCTTCTTGGAGAAGTCGCAAGCGTGCAAGCTTCAGTTTCGGGTTCTTGTTTTTGGGCCAAAAACAGGGAACGCCGTATTCCCCAGCACCAGCTCCCTATCTCTAGGACTGTCATGGGTCCGGCGTCCTCGCGGGTCACTTTATCCAAAATCGGAAACTCTTGTTGGAGCCACTTGCGATCCTTGAAGAAGTTGGCCGTGTTGTTCTTGTAAAACAAGTTCCACCACTTGGCTGGGTCTGAATTGAAACGCACTGTTGACTCGTTAGCTGATTTGCCCAGAATTTTGCAAAACAAACATCGAGGAGGGATGTATAAGGCGCATCAGATGGGAGCGAAAGACTATAACTACATAGGTGTCTTCATAGAAATTCAGATGAACTATGCTTATTAAATGTAAATCATCACAAGCGCCGGGCTTCTCAGCCCGAAAAAGAAAATGTATCCAAAAACAAAAAAGTTCCACTCACTTTTATCAAAGTCGGACACGGGTGCCTGACGCTGCATGGCGTATTGCTGCTCCGCATACTCTTTGTATGTGTCGTCAGTTTCAACGTGGTCCCAGGCATTGAACTCGAAGGGGTCGTCCTCCTGCCCGAGGTAGCGGGATCCGAACTGAAACGGGTCGCTCCTCTTCTGGTTGTACTGCGGATCGTGCGACCGATGGGGGGGCAGCTCGACCTGCTGCGTGCCCTGCGCTATTTTGAGCGAGGATATCTGGGCAGCCAGCGTCTCTTGCGCGGTGATCGAGCCAGCAACGGCCACGTCCTCGACGCTGTCGACCGTCATGGCGGGCAATGTTTTAAAAAGAAGAAAATATGCGGCGCGTCTATGAGAAGCAGCTAGCGGTCGCTGCAGGTCATTGAACTGCCCTTGATGAAATGCAACTTCGGAGCAGCATTTCGTGGGTGGTTTCGAAGTTCGAAACTTGAAGGGGGAAATTTTGTCGACGCGAAAAAAAAGAAGGGCGTTTTGCAAAAAAGGGCTGCCAGAAGTGGGGCTCTCTGAGGGGGTCTGCAAAACATCGACCAAACCGAATCGGGAAATGTCTTTTATCTCTCTCCGTAGTATTTCTACATGACCACCGATTCTGACCTTTTCACGTCCCCATCACTGTTTCCTACTCGCCCGCTTCCTCTCGATCTTCTCTAGCTCCATATCGATTCGCTTGAAGCTCCAGCTCTTCCAGAAGGGCGGGTACAGGAACGGGCGCAGATCGAAGCGGTTGTCATCCGGCGCTGTAGCACTCATCATCAGCCACAATTTCTATGTTCAACCTGAGAAATAACACTTACAGTAATCGTTGCAGTGCAAAGCCGGCGTCAGTGTTGTCATCTTGTGCCCTGTTTCGCTGTCAGATACCCTCCGAGTCACACCTAGAAAACCAATCCCGGCGTGGAATACGTACTGTTGATGGCATAGAAGTGAAAGAACTTCTTGACCTTCTCGGCGACCTGTGTCGGTGTGTAGTACGGTGCGTCGTCGTCCGGCTTGCGCACGCGGTCAATACTCCAGTCGTGCACAAGCCGCTGGAACATGCCGAACGGGCCCAGCTTGTTGAGCTTGCGAAGGCGGCCGAAGATGGTCAGTTCCTGGTATGTCATGCCCATGTCTATCTGGGGTCAGCATTGTCGTGTTGAAAGTACCGACGGGCAAAACCATACCTGCTTCGTCACTCTGGACATAATCCTCTGTGATGGGTTCCTGTAAGGGGCAATGAAATTAGCATACCCACACGCTTGCCACGGGCCCCAAGAATAGTAGCAGGAAACACATACGAGTTCGGCGGTAGGAACGGCCGTCAAAAACTCATGAAGGCACGGGAGGTCAAAGTTTTTCTCGGCCCACGCAATGAAGCGCTTCAAGTCGGCCTTATCAATAGAACCGATGGGATTCTAGAGCGGATGTGTCAGTCTCCTTACTCTCTGACCACCGAACTGATTATTAGCATGGTTGACGTACAATATCGGCACTCTAGAATGAAGTTAGCGGTCGTTGTAAACGCGTACACGGTCAGGCGGTTGGTTAGCCAAGGCGGACTTACCGAACAGTCGTATTTGGTCAAGTAGCCCCTCAGGCCTAGACAAGATATACGTCAGAACCTGATTTCTCCAGACTTGAAGTTCTCGCAGGGGGATGCAGCTACATACTCTATTTTCATGTTAGCTGTGGAACCCATATTTCATTGCAAACAAGACTCACCTCGCCAACGTTAGCACTGCCTAGAACCAACAGACTACCGCCCCCAGGTCTCTGCCTAGCGGTGGAAAGCATTTGACCAACTTCCTATCCAGCGGGTTAACACACACTCGACCAGGACCCCAAGACATATTTCACCCCACATAGGCAGTAACCTTCCTGATCTTCGCCTGCAAGCACTGTAGCGTCAGGTTTCTCCGGCACAGTCCCGCCTCTCGACCTTAACCTGGGGATCAAAGCCGACGGTGCTGACGAGGAGCTGCTTTTGGGCCTCTTAAACGTCGTCAATGTCGAGGTTGACGTGGTAGCTGCCGATAGCCTCAGACAGGTCCTGGGCGCGCTGCGGCGTCTCGCGCGAGCTCTGTTTTTTCATGCCCATGTAGATGGGGGAGAAGCCCGGTTTGCAGAGCTCTTGGGGTGTCGTGGTAAAAACCCCCTCGCCGCCGTACTTTGGGATGCGCTGGACTTCTTCGAGAACTTGCTTGTTTCCTTCTCCTAGGCCCCCCATGACAATGCGGCACAGGGAGTAGACGATTCCTGGAAGGTAGTTAGTAGGGGTATCCTATTTGGGGGGGGGGGGGGGGAGGGGGTAACCAAGGGTTTTGAACGTACCCGCAGTTGCGCACGAGTCGATGCCTCCGCTCAAGGGCACGAGATAGCCCGCAGTGCCCGATCTGCGGAGGTACTGAAGAGCAAAAAGGTTAGATGAGCGATTAAGTTGTTTTGTACATTTTTGCTTACATCCCACAGGTAACAGCCACCGCTGAGTGCGATCTCCTCTTCGACAGAGTGATACCTCGGCTGGATCAGTAGGGTCGGTGCCACCGTGACATCGGCATCGCCGTCCTCGGAACTAAGTTCAAATGGCGTCTGGATCCTTTGATACTTGGCGGTGGATGCTGCTGCTTGAAGCCCGCGAGAGATGGCCGCCCGGTACGATCTCACCTCTTCCAAGTCAACGGTGGCAGTCACAACCTCGACATCGTTCAGGCTGAATTGGGACCCCTGGGCGACGACATCACCGTTCACAATGATCATAGCACAGCCGTCAAAGTACAGGCGCTCGCCATCGCAACCCTGCTGGTTTGCGTAAAGGTAGACGCCGCCTGACTTACGAGTCGCCTCCATGATCAACTGCAACCGGGTGTCGAGTTTCCGCAACGTGAAGTGACTGCCGCTGGAGTTGGTGATAATTTCGACACCGTCCAGAGCCATGTCGATATGCGGAGCCTTGGGGGTGAAGAGCTCTTCGCAAGTCTCGGCACCAAAGGCAGTCTCCGGAGTGGAGATGACGGCATCCCCGAATAGAACGTGAGTTTCGCCCTGCAACTCGGCCAGGATCTTGGGGAGGTGAAAGAGCTCCGTCTCCCTGGGGCGCATCCAGGGAGTGAAGTGCCTCATCTCGCGGTAGTTGCCGTCGTTGGCGAGCCACATCTTGGGCCGGATCAGGAGAATCTTGCCGTCGAGGCAAATAACCCGGCAGTTGTACCGCAGATTCCGGTGGAGGATGGGCACACCAACGTCGAGGAGGATGCCATGAGTGCTCTTGTCCTGCAGAAGCTGGGCCAGCATCTCCAGGCTGTGTGTGTAGACATCGAGCTCATGGAAATGGTCCAGACTCGAGTACCCGCAAATTTCTAGTTCCTTTATTCGGAACAAACATTAAATCTGTGATCATCATACACTCGAGGATTCGATGCGTGACTTACGGGACCAACACGAAGACGAGCACCAGCGGCCTTTGCTTGGTGAATGCTTTCGATGATGCGGCCGAGGTTACCTTCCCACTGAAACCATAATCAGTACTCAACTTGAACTAAAAGCAAAAGGTGACCATTGGAGAATCACTCACGTCGAGAACCCATTGGTTCAAGCTGCATGTCGCAACCGTCACAAGGTGCCCCATGGTTGAGGTTAGCTGCTGGCCGTTGGCGTATTTGTTTTTGTGTGGATGGTCTAGTTGTCTAGGAGTTCAAATTGAGAGAGAGTCGAGTCACAAGTGTAAGCGCCTTATCTACCTTTATTCGGGACTGCTCACCCGAAACTCGCAGCTTCCAACGACTTTCGACCACGCCGCAAGAGGATGGACGGCGGGACTGGCAGATAAGGTCAACGGCACAGACAACTTTGCCGTGGCTGTATTTACAGATCCAGGCCTTTTTGGATCTCACCAAACTCAAACCCGACGTGTTTCGCAGCGAAGTCTTGGAGCTCTCCTTTGCCGTTTCTACCCCTCAACATTGAAATGCACCGCGGGGCAGGTCGACGTCACATTGCCTAATACGGCTAGTCGGGAGAGGTTGTTCGAGTGATGGACAGGGGTAGAATTCATGTTCACTGTCCAATTAGCCCTGCAGGGTCCAGGCCTCGGCAGTCTTGTCCAGACGAACCATTTGTTCATCGCATCTTGAAGTCGCTCGTTTGCGACCGAAGTTGCCGGCCGAACACAGCAATGGAGTCCCAATAATGATATTCACGTTGCGAGAACACAGCCCTTTCCTCCGAGACCGAATAATACCATGAAAGCCCGGCACATCTTACCCTGACCGCGCATAGCCCTTGCACCCGGAACACATCACACGATCCTCTTCTCGCCTTCAAGAATGGCATCACGGCTCCCAACCCCGGCGCGCCGCCTCCTGGCAAAACATACTCCTTTCCGCTCACTCCCGTCACTCTCACAATCATCACTCCCACCAGCAACCCCCATAATTCAAGCCAACCTCCCACAACCCAAGCCAGCCACCGCAACCACCACCACCGCCGCCGCAACCATCACCCGCCCCCTCTCAACAACCCCCCCCCGGCCCTGGCTACTCTCCGCGCTCCCCAACCTCGCCGCCAGCACCAACGGTGGCCCCTCCCCGCCCAAGACCCTCCGCGCGCGACGAGTACTCCCCTACCCAGCCGCCCAGATCTACACCCTCATCGCCGACATCGATTCATACACACACTTCCTGCCACACTGCCCGCACTCGCGCGTGACCAAGTGGGTTACCACACCCCCCACACCCATCACCATGCCCACAACGGATGGTAGCAGCAACGCACCCCCCCAAAAAGCCACAGGAACGGCAGCAGCAACCCCCCCCGGAACGCGCCACCCCGCCCTCGCCGACCTGACCGTCGGCTGGGGCCCCTTCACACAGACCTACACGTCACGGGTCTACTGCGTTCCCGGGTCAGTGGTGGAGGCAGTGAGCGGCAGCGCGACGACCAGCATCCCCGCGGAGGTGCTCTGGGCGGTGGAGGTACCCCTCTCTCCCCGTCTTCTTCAGGGGAAAAGGAGGGGGGGAAGATAGAGGGGATCTTTGAGAGTCTCGTTTACGCGGTGGACGGTGAAGCCCGTGACGGGGCCGGGGCCGGGGACGGGGACGGGGGGCGGGGAGTGGACGGAGGTGGTGCTGAGCGTGACGTTTCAGTTTTCGAATCCCGCGCTGGGGTTTGCGGTGGGGCAGTTGGCGGATGAGAAGGCGGACGAGATGGTGGAGGCGTTTGAGGGGCGGGCGAGGGAGTTGTATGGGGGGAGGTGAACGACGCAAGTGGTTGTGATGTTGGTGTGTGTTTGGGGGTTGGTGTTCGGGACTGGCTGGTGGGGAGAGAGTCAAAGGGAGCGTGAGGTTCTAGGATGGCATGTACAAACATGTACACTAGTTATGTGTATACGATTTTTCTGGTTTTGGTGGTTTCCTAGAAGGGGGTCTGCGTATAGAACATAGAATATACCAAAACATCCCAACCAAGACGATGCACATCCAACGACGACTTCAAACAACAAAGCAGAACAAGATAACAAAAAACAACCCGTCTAAATCTGCAAAGCAAATCCAGAAAAAGCAAGCCCTCCCTCGCCGCGCGGCTGACTATTGACATTGACTCTTTGCGCCGGAACCAGGCAAAACTCGCCGCAGCACCATGTGCCTCCCGCAAACCCCGGCCACCCAACGTGTTTATTGCTGTATTTCTTACCTCCAAACCTAACGATTGTGGTGGACGCCATCGCCGCTATCCATCATACTCCATCACTCATCCCTCATACCTCGTCGTCCCACGTCTCATCCCTCATTTCCATACTCCAGCGGCGATATACCTAACGTCCTGATCAGATCAGGCCACGCGGGCACGCCGCGCTAGAAACCAAACCTCGAAGCAGAAGGGGGATATCCAAACATAACTCGGCGAAAAAATCAAAAACAAACCCAAACCAAAAAGGAAAAAACAAGTAGGCGACAAGGTATCAAAAGCCAAACTGAATAGCAGGTTGCAGGCAAGATTGCGATTATCGAAAAGCGGCGAGGGAGCCTGTTTGCGGTCGGATTGATCGTCGACCCCATCGATCTAGCGTCGTCCACCGGTGAGATAGGTATATGGCGACGACCGTGTGCGGCGACCGGCGGCTGTCAACGAGGAGGGGTTCCCAGTTTAATGCTTCTTCCTAAACCCATGGAGTTAGCACATTCTTCTTTTAACCGATCTCAACCACGACGAAACAATAACATCTAATCAACAGGGCAAGTAACGGACGCGGACGGCCATGTATGGGTAGGGTAGAAGAAAAACGTGTACTGCTGGGAGGAGGCGGAGGAGGTGCGATTCTTATGCTCATGGTTGGGAGGGATGGGGTTAGGGTCTAGGGGATGCCAACGTACTTCTTGCTGCTGCTCTTGGGCTTGCTTCCGGCCATCCACCCGAGCATGGACGACGGAGCGCCCTTATCCTTTCTCCTGGGTGGCTTGTTGGGATCGACGCTCACGATTTGCGGCTCCATCGACGGCCGCACAATCCGAGCGCCAGTCGGGATGCCGCCGGGACCACCTGGCATACCGCCTGGCATACCGCCCGGCCACATGTTGCCTGGTGGCGGGGGCGGAATGGGCATGCCGCCACCTCCTGGGCGGGCGCTTGGCGGGCGCATGAAGGCCGAGGCCATACCAGGTGGGGGACGCTGGGGGTGTTGCGGGTGATGGCCGGGGTGCTGAGGACGGGGAATGCCGCCGGGCTGCATGTTGGGGGGCATCTGCTGGCGAAGTGGCGCCTTGTCCATTGGCCACATGTGCATGGTAATGGCCCAATCGGGCTCAACAACCTTTTCCCACACGCTCGGGAGGATGATTTCGCCGTTGGGTCCGATCAGGTCGTAGTGACCTTCTTGGACATGCGGGCCGATGACCTCGACATGTAGGAAGGCCTGCTTGATAAGCTCTTCCATACCCTGCAAACCGTTAGCAGAGGCGCAGGAAGGGGTTACTTGGATGGCTACGTACCTGCCACGTCTGGCACAGATGGAAGGGGAAGCTGAACTTGCGGCCGACGGCATCCTTGAACTTGATGGGCAGTTTCTCTTTCTTCTTTGCAGCCTCTTCAGCTTTGTCCTTGGCTTCCTGGAGAAGCTTGTCCTTGTAGATCTTCTCGTCCTTTTTCCTTTGCTCTTCAGCGGCCTTGGCCTCCTCAGCCGCCTTGCGCTCGGCCTCGAGTTTCTCCCGTGCCTCGACCTCGGCCTTGAGTTTGGCCTCTGCCTCGAGCTGCTTCCGCCATTCGGCTTCCTCGGCTGCCTTTTTTGCGGCAGCGGCTTTCGCTTCCGCCTCGGCCTTCTGGGCGGCTTCAATCTTCTCGCGCTCGGCCTGAAGGGCGGCCGCGAGCTTAGCCTCTTGTTCTTTGATGGCCGCTTCCAGCGCCTTCTTGGCATCCTCTTCGATCCGCTTCAGTCGTTCCGCCTCCTCGGCTGCTTTGGCGGCGGCGGCGGCTTTCGCTTCCTCTTCGGCCTTGATCCGGGCGTGGATTCGCTCCTGCTCTTCCCGGATGGCTAACTCGATCCTGGCCTTGGCCTGGGCTTCAGCTAGGGCGGCAGCCTCCGCCTCGCGCTTCTTACGCTCCTCGGCCGCTCGTATCTCGGCCTCGAGCTTCTCGCGGGCCTCTCGTTGGATCCGCGCCATCGTCTCTGCCTGCACCTTCTGCCTTTCCTCCTCTGCTTTCTTCTCCGCCGCCATCCGCTCGCGAGCCTCCCGTTCGATCCGCGCCAACGCCTCTTCCTGCATTTTCTGCCTCGCCTCCTCTGCCCTCTTCTCCGCCGCCAGCCGCTCGCGCGCCTCTCTGTCAGCCTCGGCCTTTGCTATCTCCATCGCCTTCTTTGCTTCATCTTGCGCTCGTTGGATATCCTCCATCCGCCTTTTAAGCGCTTCTTCAGCTTCTCTCTGCATGTTGGCCTTCATTTCCGCCACCCTCTCCGCCTCTGCCTTTCTCTTCTCTTCTTGCTCAAACTTGGCAAGTTGGGCTTTCAGCGCCTCCATCTCTGGGTTTGGCTTCTCGGGCGGGGGAGGGGCAGGCGTCGGGGGTTTGGGGGCAGGCGCCTCCGTCGGAGGCGGCGGCGGGGCGTTGTACATATACGGTTGAAGGTGCGGTGGTGGTACACCATAGCCTCCTGGACCTCCACCACCGTAGTAACCGTGGCTGTGGTTATTTTGGTGATAAGGCATCATGTCATAGTGCCCGTGCCCTGAGCGGTGCTCATTTTGGAAAAAGCTGCCACTATTCCCGCTCATCGGCGACGGCGTGAAGGGGTTCCGATAGTCGTTGCCATAGGGAACCATCTGGCCGCTGTAATGGTTCGTCATGTAGCCCACATGGCTTTGCGCATATCCGTTTGGCTGATGGCCGCCCCGGGCGCCATAGAAGGCGCCCTGGTTCTGCGGTTGTGGTGGGCCGCCGTAGCCCCGCCCGTACGACGGACCATACTCGTCGGAGGGGTCGATACTCATTGGCGGTGCCGGAGGAGCGTGGTATGGAAAGGACTGGCGCCCGACAGGGGGGAATCCTGTGGCTGCGAGGACCACCACGGATTGGGTGTGGGCTGTGGGATCGCGGAAGCACGTGCTTATACTCGTTGCTTATTGACGCTGAATCCGAAGGGTCGAGCTCGTCGTACTCATCACCCCACTCGTCCTCCTCCTCCTCTTCTTCTTCGTCGTCGTCGTCGTCAACTATGGACCCGCTGTAGTCCTCACTGTGTTGTATTGACGACTCAGCTTCGTCGTCGTCGTATCCACTAGAAGAACTTGAGGCTGAAACGTGGTTTTGGTTGATTGTCACGGTTCGCTGTTTTCTGTGCGCGGCGACGGGGCGATTGGCGCGACAGGTTAGCCAAATACTTGGAAGGGGGACAGCGAAATGGGTCATGCGGCGCAGCCGTCGTGTCGACAAGAAAGGGCGGTTGTGGTGGGGGCTGGACTCACAGCGGCATTGGTAGTGCTTATATCCGTCACCTTTGACTCTCAACAATCCACGGATAGGAAGCGGAGTCAAGGCGACCTAAAATCGACTTGGTGTGCACCGGGGTTGGGGGGGGCAGGGTTGGCGGTGTGTGTTGTGAAGGGATGCAGGGGTATTGGTGTCTGGAATGCGCAAACCAGGAGGGGGAGAGGCTGTGTGTTTTCAGATGCGGGTAAATAATGCTGGGAAGGGACAGGAACGCCTGTGAATGTTTCTGTGACAGGACCGTCCGTTTCAGCGCCGAGTGGTTCTTCCGGAAAATGTCGACGCACGGCCGCTATATGTTGGGCGCGAAAACAGAGAGAGGAGGGGAGTCGATCGGGTAAGGTCTGGGTCGCTGGTCAGAGACAGCGGGAACGATATGCACAAAAAAGCCTAGACCAGATCCACCCGAGGGGCCGCCGAGGGAAAGAGACAGGGGAGGCGAGAGGGTGAAGCAACCCAAGGCGCGGCGGAATTGAACCCTTAACCCATTCCGTCCGCCATGTTTGAAAGGAAGTAAGGTGAGGACTAACAACCGCTCACGACAATAAGGAATCGGGAGAGGGGAGCTGGTTTTATTATGGGGTGAGCCCATAGCGCGGGGTTGAAGTACTTGCCTTCTGTTCTAACTAGGGGGAGAGGGGCTGTGAGCCTGGCTAAGGAGACGCTCGTGACCACGGGGACGGTCAAGTCCTGCGGAAAGGGGGGGGGGGGGGGGAAGGCGGGAGCGTCCGGTGAGGGAAGGAGCACTGAGCACTCAGCAGCAAGCTTCGATACTTGCATAGCGTCAGTGAGGGGGCCAAGTTGCTCGATGGAACGTAAGAAACCCCGCGATAGCAGCGGAAACATCAGCACACCAAAGCAGCCGGTAAGGCGGGACCACTAGCCTCGATTGGGCTCCAGTGCCGGGAAGGCAACCCACATGAAATGCGGTTGATGACGACGGGTTGTACGCCAACAACACATGTTGTTGGGTTCGAGTCCGGTGCATCATGAACACCACAATATCATCGCAGGGCTAAGACCGAGATTGGGCCTCTTTTGCCCCCCTCTGTACCCCGTGAGACACTGGTTCAGATGGAGTGCGTGCCTGCGACTGACCGCTGAGCCGAAGAGGGGCAGCATTTCTGCCCTCACCACAGAATCCAGCCTCGGAAGAATGGAGGAACAACATGACGGGAGTGACTGCCCCGGTATTGATGGCAATGAATAATGTCCATACGTAGGGTATGTACGGTAGTGGACTGGGGACCGGCTGTGAAGTGGGAGGCAAAATGGCATGCACATGGCGAAACAGAAGGAAACATGAGGAAAGAGAATGTCGTCGTACCGGCAGCTGGATTGTGGCCCAGTATGGGAGTAATCTTGTCCACAAACTGTCAGGTGGGTGTTCCCGTTCGTCGATCTCGGTGTGGACGGGATGAACGCTGTGTGTGCCGTCCGACAGATCAGACCAAGTTTTGGTGGGGTGGGGTCCGCTGAAGTTGCTTCTAGGCTGCGAGAGCCGAGATGTGAGGGTACCTGCCTGGTAAGTAGGAGGCGAGATAATCTGCTGCGGGCGCCGCTTCAATAGAATTGCTTTCGCCGGGATTTATTAAAATTTGCTGCTTGAGCCTGTTCGAATTTGGATGCTACTGCTGGTTTCGACCTGAGATGCTGATTAGGTTATGAGCTTGTGTTTTCAGGGCACGGACGGATTAAAAGCAAAGGATTCAATTTTCGGAGGGCAGACAGGGGGAACACGCACGGTGCTGGGTCCGACTGTTATTATACGGCTCAGTCTGAATTCTTCGTGGACGAATTTTCATCGTAACCGGAAGAGCCACGCTACAGCCGGGTAATAATGTAATGAAGCAGGCCGGAAACCATGTAAAGCGGATGCAGGCTGCGGCAGCTGTGCAGCCACAGCACTAACAGGGGCGGAGCGTTGCCCTGCGTACAGAAAAAACCTCACTTACAGGCTCAGGCTCGCGGCCCTCGATGCCCGCCACAGCAGTTCTGCTGGAGACCCGACCCAGGCCACCCGGATCCAGGCCACCTCACCCGCAAACGGACGGCGCACTCGTGGCCTTTTGCCAGCTTGCGGGTCGCAGCGGACAGCCCAAGGGGTGGCCATTGTCAGGCGGTGAACCCCGTCTGCAGTCCTGGGGCGGGCAAGGGAGGGCAGGCATTGGCGGCGTTGGCAGAAATCAGTGACAATGAGCGACCACAGCCAGAAAGGCCAACACCAACCCTCAACACTTGGTCAACCCCCACCGGTGTTGCTGGACCGGTGACGAGTGCAGCTCTCTCTGCGCAACCTCACTGGCTTCTGATGGTCACGATGTTGAAGGCAACTTCGATCATCCCGCATGGTTTTTCTTTTTGCCTTGTGTCGGCACTCATGCCTTGGAAGTAGGGTGCGAGGACGTGGGGTTGGGAGCACAAAATATCCGAATGTGTAAGCCGATAGAGCGACGTCAACTACCAAGGAGGCCGTGAGGCGACGGCAAGAGTCAATATTTTTTGGTTCGCGGCGAGATCGAGCAGGCGGATGTGGAGATGCAAGATCAGACCCCGCGGACAGCGACGCCTTAAGTTATAAGCTTTGCCCACCACCATCTCGATTGCCGTCTCCGTGTCTATAGAACTCTGCTAACCCACTGCAACGATACCTCAGTCTCTACCGCCAGCCTCGTCGATAGACACGTCAACTTCGGCTCTGCGGAGCCGTCCCAGGCTAGCGCTCAAGCTTGGGAACAGTCCCAGGTACATTGGATGTCTGCACCGAGTGAGTCCATCAAACAGCCATTGGGGTGCCTTCGACTGGGCATCGCGAACGGGGTATGGAGTTGTGGTTGTCTTGCTTGCTGCCACCCAGCCAAACCCAGACTTTTGCTGAGCTTAACCCGACGATCCCCCTTTTGCGCCCAAAGAGGGACCGGAGGCGCATCGGGTGAGCCTCAGCAAGCAACAACCCGATTGATGAATTGTAATCTGGTTGGGCTCCAAAGGCCCGCCCCGTCCGTTCTCCACCGCACAGCGGACCTCGTTTGCCCCATTGACTGGAGCCACGTTCGGGCTCCAGCGTTCGCGAACCTTCCTGCCCAAGACCCACACGGCTAATGCAGGCAGGAAGCAGTCGGGCACCAATGAGACCCGAGGTTTTGTTGGAAACAATTCGGACCGCGAGCGCGATTCTGGAAGTTTGCGGTGCAAGTGTCCGCATCTCACCCATGATTTCCCAATCTCGGCCGTCTCCGCCCTGACTCACGACATTGCGGGTATCGCGAACGCGTCACTTGACCTCTGCGCGGCACCACCGCTCCAACCAGGGTGATATCACCTCTTGATTGCAGATGCATCGTCAGCAAGCAAGTCTCGAGCTGCAGCAACCTCAGCTTCGCTGTAACCACGCCAACCCCGGTCACTCGCGGCGCTGTGTCGGACAATTTCGGAAAGCTTGGCCGTGGCCAGCTCATTAAGCTGTTCAATGGTGTTGGTGTCTGGCAGTGCGAACTCGCTGTCATCTGCTGGCCTTATTGCCTTGGTGCCATCGTTGAGCAACCTCTTGGAGACCTTCAAGGTGTTAGCGTCCACATGGGCGCCGCATGAACGAGACATCTTACCAGCTTTAGACCGTAGTATCCTCGGAGATAATCGTCGCACAACTCGATACTCCGCGAGAAACGCTTGACCGCCTCAGCCATGTACTTTTGATACAAGCCATTGGCCAGGCCCGGGGCAGTCGCGGCCATGTACTGCAGCTCCCCCAATCGCGCATGGATCTGTGATGGGTGCATTAGCATAGGGCTGAGGTTCGGTGCCTTGGTCGGACTGCATACATTCCATGCATTTGGCGCCAATACCAAGACCTCCTCCATGGCGTAGATGGCCTGTGGGTACAAGCCCTGGGAGAGATAGATATCCGACAACTCAGACCAGGCTTCGGCATCGGTGGGGGAGAAGTCAAGAAGCTGCACGAGAGCTGACGCCGCGTCGGGAAGACGTCCCATGGACCGCAATAGCGCGACTCGCCTCTTCGCAATAGGCTAGATCATGTGTCAGCCAACAATCGCTTGGCCAGCAAGGGGGAAGGGCGCGGACGAACAATATTGGCATCATTCTCATTCAGAATTTGGTTGTACTCATTCAGCACTTCCTCCAACGCTCCGTTGCCTTGGGCCTCGGCTTCCTTTACCAGTCCCCTGATCGCCTGCACCCGCTCGTTGTCGTCTCCGAAACGGGCGACGAGGCGCTGGAGGCATTGATGGGCGGCCTGGTCATCTCCCGTTCGCAGACACGACACGATCAGGTTTTCGTATTGTAGCCATTGTTCTGACTTCTCGGGGCCGGAGAATAAGGTGCTGAGAGGCGATGATGACACGGTCGATGGCGAGCTGCGCAAGAACGCGGGAGTTTGCTGGGATAAGGCCAGCGCCGCCGCTGGTGACAGCTGAATTGGCGAGTTGAGTATCGGGGGAGCCATTGCTGCTGCAGGAGAATTGACTGGATCGATAATTGACTTGAACGGGACGGAAGATATCACGGTTGATTGACGCGTTGAGCTGGTTCGATGAAGTGGAGTGAACACTGCGGATAGGAGCAGCCAGGAGCTCAGGAGGAGCTGCGCAAATGGGCGAGGATGCTACGCAGATGGGCAAGGATGGCACGTGCATCATAGGTCGGGAGCTCCTTCCTAGCCCGATGCGCCGGCACAGCGGTGTTTGTTTCTTCCGCCGCCCCAACACAGTGTTGCTTGCAGAGTGGGCTCACTGTACGGTGACGTGCTGCGCCTTACATTGGGGCGCCTCACCACCAGGCAACGCGATCGTCGTCCACGATTAGAGGTTGCTAGAGGGCAGAACGCACGAGCGCACCTAAATTCCAACACAACCAGCCTACGGCTAGCGCTTTTGGAAGGCCCTCGGCAAGATGCGCTTCATCGCCTCCTCTACAATTATTTCCAACAAAACATCACCCCGCTAAACCCCTCCCGACCCCAAATTCAACGATTCTACCCCTCGACGACAACTATCGAACATCGAGTATCTAGCTTCGGAGGTCACTGAAGTGCACAGTCGGAAATATAAGCGGCGATATTCACTCATATCAGCCATGTGCGTCGGCCTGCAGTTGCTAGTTAACACCCGAAACCACCACGCTGACAGCACTCAGGTTCGAGAAATCGCTGTACGACCTCATCCGGGGTCTACGGAACCACAAGGGCAACGAGAATGAATACATACAGAACTGCTTAAAAGAATGTCGCGCCGAAATACGCAGCCAGGATATGGGTTAGTTTGTTGTGGCTCCCTCTGACCGACAGCCGGAAAGCTGACCTCGGAGATGCAGACCTCAAGGCGAGGGCCGTACTCAAGCTTGTCTATCTTGAAATGGTTGGGCACGACATGTCCTGGGCTTCTTTCCATGTTCTCGAGGTCATGTCTTCCCAAAAATACCACCAGAAAAGAGTTGGATATCTTGCCGCTGTTCAGAGCTTCCGCCCCGACACCGACGTGTCCATGTTGGCAACAAACCTCCTAAAGAAGGTGAGTGGATATGGCCCTTTTCGTTGAATCCGCCTGCTGATTGTTGTCCAGGACGTGGCTGCATCATTACCGACCATCATAGCGCTCCCTATCGCCGCCCTCCCTCACATCGTCACACCGTCCCAGACCATGTCGCTCCTCGGTGATCTGCTACCACGTCTCGGCCACTCCCATGCCGCTATTCGGAAAAAGACGGTCGTTACGCTCTATCGGCTAGCGTTGGTATATCCCGAAGCACTCCGTGCTTCATGGCCGAAGATAAAGGAGCGTCTGATGGACCCAGACGAGGACTCAAGCGTAACGGCAGCCATTGTGAATGTTGTCTGCGAGTTGGGCTGGCGGAGGCCGCATGACTTCCTCCCGCTAGCACCGCGGCTGTTCGAGCTCCTGGTTGATGGGGGTAACAACTGGATGGCAATAAAACTAATCAAGCTTGTAAGAAACCCCGTGCTCTGTCGCTCCGTGTTTCCTGACCTTGTTGTAGTTTGCCACTCTCACGCCCCTTGAGCCACGCCTGGTCCGCAAATTACTACCACCGTTAACCAACCTAATCCGGACCACCCCGGCCATGTCTCTGCTATACGAATGTATCAACGGCATTATCCAGGGTGGTATTCTCGGCGATGGGGAGGATTTCTCGGCCAGGGAGGAGGTAGCTTCACTTTGTGTCACAAAGCTACGAGGCATGGTGTCCACCAACAGCGATCCAAATCGTGAGCTCACCGCCACTATCTTTATCACGTGGCAGATACTAATACACACGCCCAGTCAAATATGTGGCGCTCCTAGCGTTCAACCGCATCGTCGTGACCCACCCCTTCCTCGTTGCACAGCAGGAAGACGTGATCCTGGAGTGTATTGATAGTGAAGATATCACTATCAGGATAAAAGCGCTTGACTTGGTGCAGGGGATGGTCAGCAGCGATAACTTGGTTTCGATCGTCAGTCGATTAATGAGGCAGCTCAAGGCGTCTTCCGCTACGCTCAGCCAACAAGAAAACGGCGCCGAGGGCCAGGATCCTGAAACCGACTCGAGCGATGAACCAAGCGCAGAATCCAGGCGACGTCACAAAACATCAGAAACTGCCCCGCCCCTCCCAGACGATTACGCCGTCGACGTCATCGGCCGCATTTTGAGGATGTGCTCTCAAGATAACTATGCCAACATGGTTGACTTTGATTGGTACCTCGACGTTCTGACGCAGCTCATCCGGATTGCCCCTACGCCTCGGACAAAGGATTTGGGTTCTGACCGGTCAAGTCCAAAGTCAAGTGGTGACATTTCCGAGAAGATTGGCAACGAGCTTAGGAATGTGGCCGTGAAGGTCAAGGCCATCAGAGCTGCCGCTGTGCGGGCGGCCGAACTTGCAGTATCCCGAATGAGCACGGAGGTATCATCCACAAGGCCAGTCGTCTCAGGGGCACTTAACCCCATTGCTTGGGTTGTTGGGGAGTATTCTTTCCAGCTACTTTCGGCTGACAACACTCTACGGCACTTGCTAGATCTAATCCCACGGGTCGAATACCCCGAGGGCCTGGCAACATCTCTACAAGCTGTGCTAAAGCTGTTTGCCTACGTCGCTGGAGACGATCAAGCACTCTGGACTCCGGAAAGGAAATCGAGCGTCACATTATTGATGGCCCGCGTCATTCACGTCTTGGAGCCGCTCGCATTACACCCTTATCTCGAAGTCCAGGAGCGTGCTGTTGAGTTTATCGAATTACTCAAGCTTACGGCCGAGGCTGCGGCCGGCCAAACGCCGTCCACGGACGACGTCGACCAAGATCCGCCATTACTGCTCACACAAGCGATCCCATCGCTTTTTACTGGGTGGGAGCTCAATTCCGTTGCTGCCAACACACAGCAGAACGTGCCCATACCGGATGACCTTGATCTCGACGAGCCGATTCATGGTGACCTCAACAGATTGTTGTCGCAGGCAGACTCGTTGATGTTGCCGACACAGGGCGACGACGAATTCGAAACATACTACCACCATAAGCCGGCAGTCACAAGCATGTCCAATGAACCAGCCATAAATAGGCTAGTAGAAGCACCGGAGGAGGTGGTGTCGGGATCTTACCAACAATCTGAAGAGAGCTACCTGGACCCGGATATTGTTGCTAGGAGGAAGGCTGAGCGCGCCGAGCGTTACCGTGACGACCCCTTCTACATCCCCGACGCCACTGCATCTGGCGGCAGGTCCACGCCCATCCACAACATTCTCCAAAAAGAGAACGGCCCAGGCCTCGACATATACTCCATCCCTATCATGCAACTCGACTTAGACTCCGGCGGCCGCGCTAGCCCTGCTAATCTGCAACAACAGCCCCCGAAACCCAAACCCCACCAACGCATCATCGTGACAGCCGACGAAACCCTTGCGGGGAGCGGCATCTCGACGCCGCGCAACTACGACTCCGAAAACAACTCGGATACCCTCGGAAATCCAGGACCTCCAAAGCCGCTGCCGCCGCCAAGAAACTCAAGCAACAATCCCTCCTGCAAATAGGCCCCGCCAACCTCAGCGATCTCAGCATCGGAGACACGAGCCAGTCGGGCGGCGGCGGTGGTGGTGGCGGCGATGGGCTGGCACTCGAGCGGCAGCAGCGTGAGGAGGCGGAGATGGCGCAGGCGCTCAAGGAGGTGCAGCGGCTGAGGCTGGAGATGCAGCGCGCGAACGAGCGGATACAGGTCGCGCAGGGGGTTCCGGTGGAGGGGGTGGTTGTGGCGAAGAAGAAGAAGAAGAAGGTGAAGGATGGGGAAGGGGGTGGTGGTGGCGGTGAGGGGGGAGAAGGGGTGGTGAAGGTGAAGAAGAAGAAGAAGGTGGCGGTAGTTGAAACGGGGGGTGAAGGCGGGGTGGAAGGGGGTGAGGGTGTGGTGAAGAAGAAGAAGAAGGCTGTTAAGGCGGAAGGGAAAGAGGGCGGGGAGGGGGAGGCGGTTGTGAAGGGGAAGAAGAAGAAGGCTAGGAGGTTGGTACAATTGGATGAGGGGGAGGGTGCTGCTGCGGAAGGAAATTAGAGGTGGCCATATTGGTGGACGCCGCGCAAACTAGAAGCAGCAGAAAGCAACCAAGCAATGCAATTGTCAAAGAGCACATTTGTGCCGCGCCAAGAGATAATCAGTTCGGAGGATCTCTCACGCTGTTTAAGTCTTTGTTTGGTATATATCGAC